TTTGGGCAGTTCTGCAAAACATTGAACCTTCAGCATTTGTCTCTTTTTGGTTTTGTAAACAAGCATTTCTAAATATTTGGTCAAACACTAGGTCATAAGTGTTCAAAGTACACATGTAGATGTTATATTATAAAAGTAGCCTTCATACAACTAAAAATGACTTAACAGGTGAGATCCTTAACTATTCAAGTGAAATGTAAATGATAGAAGCAACACCTTTTATCCTACAGGGTGTCCTTAACACCTGTGTATTGTTTCTTTCAAATTATGGATCTGACCATGAAACGACATCTTTGGTCCAAGTCAGGCTGGGATACTGATGCATGTTCACCATCCCGTTACCGTCTGACTTTCCATGATGTGAAGATACATTATGTTGTCTTCTAAATAAGAGAAAGCATTGTTATACATCTAATTATTGTGGTCAATGTAGATTAACAAATCAAAATAGTCAGACTTTTCCCTTGCATTCATTGGTTTGTTATCTAAATCAAACCGTGTGATACATTATACAAAATTATGAAGAACCAAGAATCGGGGGATATTTTTATTTGAACTCGGAAAGGACTTAATGGACTTTGCATTCTCAAGCTTGTGCAAAGTTGTTTGTATACTTGAATACAACTTGTATACCGCTTCGTGAATAAAGATTTGGGTGAAATAATGTGTTTTTTCCCCTTTCCTGTCAAGTTGGGGAAAATAACAATGGGCAATGTCTTATATTAAGAATACTTGAGGTAAGAACATCTTTTAAATATAATGGGTTAGCAATTGAGGATGTGTACACATTATTGGTATATTTCCATGTTTTCTTTCCATTGTCTTTGGATGTTTGCTGTTCTTGTTTTTTATCCTCACAACCCTTTAATCTACATTTAAAGTATTGGAGCAATATAGAAAATACGTTTTTCTATTTTATAAGGGTCCAAATTACATCATATGAGTTGTATTTAGTCTACTGTTATGTAAACATGATAGTAATTATTAAGAAGCTTATCGTAAAAATAATTTTATATTGAAAGATATTTTCCCTCTTAAGTAGGCTAAGTCAAAGGAAAACCCTGAAATGTGAGCATTACATTACATTACATTGCATTTAGCTGACGATTTTATCCAAAGCGACTTACAATAAGTGCGTTCGACCAACAAAATACAACTTGAAGAAAACTCTTCTTGAGCAGAGTTCAATCAATCAATCAATGTTTATTTATATAGCCCAATATCACAAATGTTACATTTGTCTCAGTGGACTTCACAGTTTGTACAGAATATCAGTATGACAATATGACACCCTCTGTCCTTAGACCCTCACATCGTACAAGGAAAAACTTCCGGAGAAAACCCACAGTTTAAAGGGAAAAATGGGAGAAACCTCAGGGAGAGCAACAGAGGAGGGATCCCTCTCCCAGGACGGACAGACGTGCAATAGATGCCGTGTGTAAATTGAAAAGATAATACATTTGCTAGCATTTGGTAGTCCAAATGTTTGGAAATGCATGTGTGTATAATAGGAAGATTAATCCACGAGGATATCCATCCAGGACCTATGATCCAGGACCACAGCCACGACTCAAGATCCAGGGCTCGCGATGCAGGACACAGGACCGCAAGATCATCCATGACTCTGGATCCCAGCGTATATAGACACCAAAAAGAAAGACATTTTGGGAAGCTGGGTTAATCGGAACATGAGAGTACACAGGTACAGACAGAGAGAAGGAAGAAGTAAGATGTCCCCCGACAAACTAAGCCGATATCAGCAAAACTAGGGGCTGAATCTAATCAGCCCTAACTATAAGCTTTATCAAAAAGGAAGGTCTTAAGCGCACTCTTAAAAACGGATAGGGTGTCTGCTGCCCGAACACAAACTGGAAGCTGATTCCACAAATGTGGAGCTTGATAAGAAAAGGCTCTGGCTCCCATTGTACTTTTAGAGACTCTAGGAACAACCAACAACCCTGCATTCTTGGAACGCAATGCCAGGACAGTAGGGTATAATGAGTTCTTTAAGGTAAGATGGCACCTGCTCATTAAGGGCTTTGTAGGCGAGAAGAAGAATTTTAAATGATAACCTGTGTTCTATAGGGAGCGAGTCTAAGGCAGCCAACAGAAGTGTAATGTGGTATTTTTTCCTAACTCTGGTTAGTACACGAGCTGCAGCATTGTGAATCAGCTGAAGCGACTTGACTGACTTCTTGGTACACCCTGATAATAAGGAGTTACAATAATCCAGCCTTGAAGTAACAAATGCATGGACTAGTTTCTCTGCATCGTTTTGAGGCAAGATATGCCTGATTTTTGCAATGTTCCGTAGATGGAAGTAGGCGGTCCTTGAAATTGATTTTATGTGGGCGTTAAAGGATAAATCCTGATCAAATATAACACCAAGATTCCTTACAGTCTCACTGGAGGCCAAATTAATGCCATCCATAGTTAGTATATCTTTAGATAATTTGTTTCGTAGATTCTTCGGGCCAAGTACAATAACTTCAGTTTTGGTCGTGTTTAACATCAAAAAGTTTAAGGTCATCCACGTTTTTTAAGTCCTTGAGGCAGTCTTGAATTTTATTTAGATGATTAATTTCATCAGGCTTGATGGATAAATATAGTTGAGTATCATCCGCATAACAATGAAAATGTACAGAATGATTCCTTATAATATTGCCTAACGGAAGCATATATAATGTGAACAAAATAGGTCCGAGCACTGAGCCCTGTGGCACTCCATGGCTAACTTTGGTTTGCGTGGAAGATTCATCGTTGACACGTACAAACTGAGAGCGTTCAGATAGATAGGACCTAAACCAGCCTAAAGCAGTTCCCTGTATGCCAACTAAGTGCTCAAGTCTTTGCAATAAGATATCATGGTCGATAGTATCAAATGCAGCACTGAGAACGAGCAAAACAAGAATAGAGACAAGTTCCTTGTCTGAGGCTATTAGAATGTCATTTGTGACTTTAACCAGAGCTGTCTCTGTGCTATGATGTGTTCTAAAGCCAGACTGAAAATCTTCAAATAAATAATTGTTTTTTAAGTAATCACACAACTGTTTTGCGACTGCTTTCTCAAGAATTTTTGAGAGGAACGGAAGATTAGAAATAGGTCTATAGTTGGCTAAAACCTCTGGATCGGGGTTGTGCTTTTTAAGAAGCGTTTTTATCACTGCTACTTTGAATGATTGTGGAACATAGCCTGATAATAAAGACATATTCATAATATTTAATTAAGAAGTGCTAATTAATGGAAAAACTTCCTTCAACAGCTTAGTTGGAATCGGGTCTAAGATACACGTTGATGGTTTAGAAGAGAATGTAATTGTTCAAGGTTTATGGCTGAAAAGCATTCTAGTTTACTATCTAGTGTAATATTAGAACTTACGTTTCCGGGAGCTGTTGATAACACTATACTGGTCAAAGGCAAGAGGTCATTAATTTTGTTTCTAAGAGTAACAATTTTATCGTTAAAAAAGCACATCAAATCATTGCTACTGAGTGCTATGGGAACAGAAGGCTCAATCGAGCTATGGCTCTCTGTCAGCCTGGCTACAGTGCTGAAAAGAAATCTTGCATTATTCTTATTCTCATTTATTAATGAAGAGTAGTAGGCTGCTCTCGCTTTACGCAGTGCTTTCTTATATTCATTGAGAGTAATATGCCAAATTAAACGAGATTCTTCAAGTTTAGTGGAACGCCATATCCTTTCAAGTTGTCTCGACTTTTGCTTTCTTTTGCGGGTTTCGGCATTATGCCATGGAGCTAATCTATGTTGTTTTATTTTCTTCTTTTTCAAAGTAGCAACAGAGTCTAATTTTATTTGCAGCGCATCTGTAGCACTATCAACAACATGATCAATTTGGGGTGGTGTACATTTTGTATAACTTTCCTCCCTTACATGCAGACATGCTATCGAGTTAAGTATTGGTGGAATCTCTTCCTTAAATTTGGCTATAGCACTAACAGATAGGTTTCTGCTGCAGGAACTTTTGACTAATGCTTTGTAGTCTAGTAACAGCACTTCAAAAGTTACTAAGAAATGGTCGGATAAAGCAGGATTATGCGGTTCGACTAATAGTTGCTCAATTTCAATACCATAAGTCAGAACAAGGTCGAGAGTGTGATTAGAGTGTGAGCAGAGTTGTGTTACTTCTATGACATGTTTGGCCATCAACAATTATATTAGCCATGCCCAAATAAATACTGTATTGTTATGTGTCTATCATTCTTGTGACTTCATTTTGCTTCAGCTGCTGCTGGTAGTCCCTAAAACCAACCAAGGTGTTTGCGAGACAGCGTATACAGAGGCTTTTTTGTATTTGGAAGAACACTTTTTGTCATCTCTGTAGGTCGAACAGTTTGTATATCGAGCCTTCTCAGCGGTAGCCCCCAGGCTCTGGAACGACCTGGCCCCCATTTCAAATTGTCGCCCACCCTCCAAACTTTTAAGTCTCGCCTAAAGACCCACCTCTTTTCCCTCGCTTTCGAGTCAGTCTGAGCTATGTTTTATCGATTTGTATGCTTTTATTGTATGTCCATAGCCTTTATGTACTGTGTATTAATTCTTATGTGTGCCTTTCATCTATTATTATATTTTATTATAATGTTATGTTTGGTGTGAGGCACTTTGGTAAACCCTCTGTTTTTCATATGTGCTATACAAATAAAGTGGGTTGGATTGGATTTGTAATAGTTGGTATGCCTTTGATACCAACGGTGCTAGTGAACTGTGAGCGCGGAACCTCACAGCGGCGGATAAACTGTGGAGCGCTTACACCAATAGCGCCTCTTAAGCGCATAAAGGTGCGCCGCATTTGCGCTTCAATGTCATGCAATCTACCCACACTACCTTTGCGATCTACGTATTGAGCACCCCCGATCTACATGATCAATATACAGGGCTTACTTTGTAGACGTTAGACAAGTCTTAACGAGGCTCACCTGTTGCAAGCTAATTGAACACAGGTGCAAGCATTCTTTCACACACACATACGGGTTTTGGGCCGACGGCGACACCGTACTTCCGGGAGCCGCCATTTTACGCGAGGTGCAACCAGGCAGAGGTTTTAGCCGTGTTACTTACTTGTTAGTTACAATACTTTGAAGATGGTGAAGTGGTGTAGTTCTGGGACTTGTAGAAATCATCATTGGATGACAGATAGTGATGGAAAATCCAAGATTTCTTTCTTCAAGTTCCTCAGTCACGAAAAACAGCCAGGACGGAGGGCCCAGTGGGCGAGAGCTTGCGCTCGCGTCGATCCCATCACTCACAAGCCGTGGAAACCCAAGGGCACCGTGCAATATGTGTACATCTGCTCGGCACACTTCATTTCTGGTAAGTTGAAGTTGTATTTCAGAACAACTACTATGTTTATGATTAATCTGATGTCCGCCGCTAGCCCGGATTGGACCAAACTACTGTTTACCTTCCTCTACAGCAGAATCATAGCATGGTAGCATAGCATCATGGTTGCTCTTATCTGTTTTTCAGGGCAGCCTTCCAAGGAGCTTGGCCATCCAGATTACATCCCGACCAATTTTGCTACGCCTGGGAAACTACCAACAGCTGACAAGTGCCAGAAACTGAGAAGGTTTGCGAAAATTCATGTATATACTGATGATATGCCTGGCCTAAATCGAACACTGTAATACTGTTGTGATAGATGTGAAGTATACAATTTTACAATAACATACCAGCTGTGGGTAGGTGTTAGTTATCACCCCTGGTAGGGCTGTGCAATTAATTGTATTTTATATAAATGATATATATAAATATAAATGTATCATTTATTTAATTTGTTTGTATTGGTTTTTCAGTTGAATTATACGTTCAGGGTAAACAACAGTTAAAAAGATACTGTTCAAATTATTATTTGTTTTAAAGTTCAATAAATTGATTTTTCTAAGTCAATGAATAATCGTATTTAATAATCGTGATATCAATTATTGACCCAAATAATCGTGATTATGATTTTTGCCATAAGCGCACCACCCTAACCCCTGGTATATGTAATGTTTGTGTGTATTAGGTTCTCGAATGCTATGTGTCGTCATGGCAAGAAGATGCTTGGCAAAGCAAATGGGCCCTCAAAAAAGAAGTGCAGAGTGGCTTACGCAGTCTCTGTTGGAGTGCAGGACACATCCCTTGCATCCTCCGAACCTCCACAGCATCAACCTACTCCTGATTCGCCTCAACCGTCGACCAGTTCAGTGTCTCCACCTTCCGTGCCTCAACAGATGCTCTTTGATGAGATCTCTGCACTCAGAGCGGAAAGAGATGCTGCTTTTGCTGAGAGGGACCATGCTAGGGCCACCCTCAACTCTATCTTCTAACACTGTTGCTGAAAACAATGAGAAGTGTCAGTATTACACCGGACTAACTTGGCCCATTTTTCTAGCCACTTTTCAATTCTTGCTAGTTTCGATGATATGCAAAGGTACCCCATCCATCCCCTACATTGATCAGTTTTTTTTTATATGATAGTGAAGTTGAAACATGGCATGAAGTTTGAGTATTTGGCAGACCAGGTAGGCATCCCTCAGAGCACGCTCATAGATCATTTTTGGAAGTGGATGGATGTAGCCTTTGTGAAACTGAAGCGTTTTGTTAGTTGGCCAGAGAGGGAGCGCATATTTTCTAATATGCCACCTGCATTCAAGGCTCTGTACCCTAGACTTACTTGCATAATAGATTGTTTTGAAGTGTTCATTGAATCTCCAGGGAACCTTAAAGCTCGTGCCCAAGTCTGGTCAAATTATAAGCGTCACACCACTATGAAGTTTCTTATTGGATGTAACCCACTTGGTGCCATTTGTTTTCTGTCTGATGCCTGGGGTGGGAGGGTGAGCGATGTGGAAATAGTACATCAAAGCGGATTCTTGACTAAATGTGACCATCACCCGGGTGACCAAGTTCTAGCGGATAGGGGGTTTACAATGAAGGAAGAGTTTGCGGGTATTGCTGGTGTAGAGCTGCTCACACCAGCATTCACTAAAGGGCAGAGTCAATTACCAGCCAAACACCTTGAATCCTCTAGGAAATTGTCATCGGTGAGAATTCATATTGAGCGTGTGATTGGCCTAATGAAAAACCGTTTTGTTATTTTGCAAGGCACTTTGCCGATTCGACATATTAAATCTCTGAAGGATGAGGCAGATCAGGTAGACAAATCAAGTGCAGATAAGATAGTTGGGGTATGTGCAATTTTGACCAACCTTGGGGGTGGGATTGTATACAAGGAATGAATTTGTATGTGTGGTTGCTAGTTCACATGCTTACATTTAGAGTTGACCATGTTATATTTTGTATGTTGATTCTGTGATACTTTACCTAATAAATGATTGTTACAAGCTGGCTCTGCTTGTAACATAAGGACAACAGTTCCACGCCGGAGTTGCCCAAAACAATCATTTATTTATCCAACACAGTGGTTCCAACAACAATAAAACAGAACAGAGGAGCGGTGTCCTGCTGCACCGAGCAGGGCAGCTGAGAGAGAGCGAGAGCCTGTTCTGCAGCCTTCTTATATCCTGGAATTAGCGCCACAGGTGGGTCCCATCACTGCTGATTACAAGAAACAAACAGGTTACAGCAGCACCACCGGGTGGACAACCACAGGGTTGTCACACAATATACAACCAGAATATGTTCATAGTAAACATTTAGTTTCTACATACTGGAATCTACATACCCAGCTTTGCAGTCACAGTGAGCAGCAACCACATCGCCACGCTGGGTAACGGCTGCCCATGGATGATGCGGCGGTTCATTCACCCGGAATGACGGTGTCACGTCAGCTCTCAGGACCGTGAGGGTTGTGTCATTAGGAATGATATGCCTCACTGTCTGCACCCAACCAGATTCCAGCAGCTTGTAGGAGTCTAGTGCTTTGTAATTTTTCATCGCTTCTCTAGTGTGGACACCTTGTTGAAACACAAAGGTAAAACATACACTGTCACCTTATAATTAAACATCAAACATAGTAGGATATACTACCTTTGATTTGACAGCTGGTAAGCATCAATGTAAGGCTTAACACAGTGACAATAGCTACAATGCTGGTAGTACCAAATTATATCAATGGCCAATGATGAGGTTATGTTTACAGCCCAGGGCCTGTATTACAGACCTTTATTAGTCCCACAGAGGGGACATTTGCATCGTTACAGCAGGAAAGAGCCACAGACAGCTTAATGTTACCTATGTTAAGAAAAAAGTACTAAGTTATGATATAATAAAATATAATAAAAAAACGTGAGAAGTAAGAAAAAAAAAATACTTTCCAAAATAAAAATCCTGTAACAGTCTTGGTGTTGCTAAGATTCCTGTACTGAATATCATAGTCTATTGCCTTAATCAATATCTAGTCAACTCTAAAATACCACATATATGCAATGGCATGATAATATTATTGTGACAAGTGGGGTATTCACCTGGTGTTTCCAGAAGATACACATAGATGTTGCCAAAAATCCACCGGAGGCCACTTTCCAGGGTCATTTCACCATGAATCTGCAGGAACTCTATACGGGCAATCATACAACCCACACAGCTTTAGTTTAAGCCGGTAACGACTGAGAGCACACCCCTCAAGTCCAGAGATATAATCGGAAGACATAGGCCTACAGCGATTTCTTCAGAATAGAAATAGAAAAACGATTGCGCTCTACCTGGTTATGTTAGCTAGCTTTTTAGCTTTGCACCTCCAGGAACATGGCGTATTTTCGCGGGTGACTCGTGACGTCACTGTGTGTGAAATAATTAGCTGAGGCTGCACCTGCCTTGTTGATTGGCTGCCTGGTGGTAATATGTGTCAGTATTAAAGCCCTGTCTCATGCTTCGTTGCCAAGTGCTCTCCACCCGCAGTGAGTTTGATTTCCTCTTGTCTGCACGCTCACAGTGATCTCCCGAGACGGTTCAGTGCAACTTTAGCAGGAAGAGTAAGTGAGTGAGTACGAGTGAAAATACGATTGGCTTCAGTCCGCGGCGGGGCTTCAACCGACGGAATAACAACGGGGTAAGGCCCGTAGCCCGCCGTTTGGGCTCCCCCCACTCGGTGCTGTGATCTGGTGCGGCGAGTGTTCTGATGGCAACAGCGGCTGGAGTGAACAGGACTGCTGAGGTGCCGAAAATGGAAGGAGGAAGGGCAAGTGATAAAGCGAACGAAGGGAAGGACAACGACAAAGAAGAACAAGGCAAGAAAGCGGGAGAGGAAGGAAAAGAGGGGCAGAGGGAGAGAGCAAGGTACAGTGTGGAATTAACTGTGGAAGTAGTAGTGGAAGGTGCACTGTCAATGATGGACCTGCTAAAAGGGATACAGAAACAGTGTGGGACAGTGGATGGATGTAGAGTGACGGGGGAACAGTATGAAGTGACGAAGAGGACAATCCTGGGGAAAATGAAACTAATGGAGGGGCTGAGAGTGAACGGGGTCGCGGTACATGCAAAAAACATTATGAGCACTGATGTGACCGTCTCGTTCCTGCATCTGCCAGTGTACTAGCTGGATAAAACGTTACTAAATAGGCTTGAGGAGTGGGGAGTTAAGCCCATCTCGGACATTAAAAAAAGAGTGTGGCCAGACTCGGACATTGCAGACGGCACCAGGTTCCTGAGAGTGAGATTCAACAATAAGGTCCGCTCCCTGCCGTACTCCACGAAGTTCGACACGGTGAAGGGTGCGGAATACTTCCGGGTCCTGCACAATGGCCAGGTTCCAGTGTGCAGGTTATGTATAAAGCCGGGTCACATCTTTAGAGAATGCCCAGACTTTAAGTGCCACAGGTGTTATGAGCAAGGGCATTATGCCAAGGAGTGCAGGTATGGAGCTGAGAGAGAGAGGAAAGAGAGAGAGAAGGAAGATGACAAGGAGAGAGAAGAGGAGGAAAACGACAAGGAGGAAGACGAGGAGGAAGACGACGAGGAAGACGACGAGGCAGAGGGGGCAAAGAAAATACCCCATGATGAGATCAGCAGCGAAGATGAAGGTCCAGTGGTGGAGGACATCTCGGGGGCTTCGGTGATGGAGGAGAAAGCACCAAAGGCGGGAAAGAGCAAAAAAAGTGCCAGGAAGGGCGGCGGAGGCGCCGACGGGAGCAGCAGAGGTGCCGACGGGAGCAGCAGAGGTGCCGACGGGAGCAGCAGAGGTGCCGACGGGAGCAGCAGAGGTGCCGAAGGGAGCAGCGGAGGGGGAAAGAAGTGTCGGGGTCCTGAAGAGGTGGAAGACGCCTCGGAGGCTTCCGAAATGGAGGAGGGAGAGCTGTCGGAGGACCCTGGGGGCAGCAAGGTCTTCGGGAGCCCAAACGAGAAGCAGAAGGGCCAGGGCAAGAGGAGAAGCAGTGGCGAGGAGGAGAAGAAGACCTCAGCGGAGAACGCCGGGCTGATTGCTAGACGCAAAGCGGACAAGGAAAGGGAGGTGGAGAAAAAGAGAGCGGTTTCGACAGAGGGGGAGCTCGGGAGATAAACCAGTATAAGGTAATGATGAAAAGGACGTGTATTATAATAACATCCCTTTTGATGGCAACGATCTCATCCCTAAACGGTAATGGTCTAAAAAGTAAGCTCAGAAGAAGCCGGGCGCTAAGTCTGTGTGAGGCCAGCATTATATGTCTGCAGGAAACACATTGGGATGGGGAGAGTGTGGATGAGGTTAAAAAGGAGTGGAAGGGCGAAGTGTTTGCAAATAATGGGAGTGAGCATGCTAGAGGGGGGGGCGATACTTATCAATTCGGGGGATGTGAAGAATGCAAGGAAGGTTGAGGATGATGGTGAAGGGAGGATGATTGGGGTGCAGTATGAATACATGGGGGACACGTTTAAGGTAATAAATGTGTATGCACCAAATATAAAGTTGTGGCTGTTTGGGGTGAGTGGGGGAGTGAAAGGTCCCAATGTGAATCTCTGTAACTATGTGCTGAGCCATGCCCGGTATGCTGTAAAACTTAGGAGAGACTTGGCCCATAATGGGAACAGAAAGGTAGACCCATGGGACGTATTAAAGAGGACTTTAAGAAAGGACGTTCAGATGGCATATGTGTACCTAGAAAAGGACTCTTTTCTGGAGAGCTTTGTGGATGGGTGCACTCTGGTGGAGGTTGGTGACAATGACAGACTGGTGTTTAAGTATGACAGTGGTGGCTAACATGTGTAGGGTGAAACGTGGAAAACGTAAAGTATGTTTTATATAAATGATTGCCGGTTTGCTGGGTTTTTGATTCTCGTATTCTGTTTTTGTATTATCATATACTATGATTGGTCATTCAAGTAAGATCCAATGGTTTTTTGGCAAACGTGGTTGTTTTTTTTTGGCTAATTGCAGTCAGTTTATTTCTTTTATTTTGTCATGGTATGCATGACTATTATGTTTGATTGTTTTAAATGCAGGGCCACCGTGAAACCACATGTGCAAATTGTAAATATTGAATTATGAATTTTCTAATAAAAAAAGACAAAAAAAAAAAAAAGGTGAGTTTGATTTTACAGAATGGGAATCCTATGAGCACCTATCACAGCTGTATTGGTTGTCACAGCACCTGCTGATGCTCAAATAGTTGCGGCAAAGAAAGTTATCTCATCTCCTCACATTACCAGCAGTCATGTGCAACAGGATGATACGCAAGAGAAAAGGCGCTGGTGTTTACCTGGCTGCAGCTGTTATTCTGACGTGTTATTTTGCGCAAACTATAGACTGTTATCGTCTGAAGAAAACAGAAAGACGAGAAGGGAGAAAAGATGCCGATGCAACAAATGGGTTCCAAGAGGGGACAATTGTTTTCGGGAGAGCTTTTGAAAAAGGGTCAGGTCTTGATTCTCAAGTCACAGACGGGACCAATAAATCATCCTCAAACGCTTATGAGGAGGATGAAGGTGATTATCAAGCAGACGCTGCAGGTAAAAATATTTTGATTACGTATTGAAGGGTTTGTTATTTTTCTTGAATTGTTTTGCATCTCTTTAAAGTACAAACTATTTAAAAATATGTATTATATTCGCCTTCAGGCTGGATGAGCCCAACACAAGTGGCCAGTCCCAAAGACTCATCATGGAACAGCATGTCGCCCTCACTGCAGTGTGGTTTGGGCAAGTTGAAGTTCAGAGCGGTGGAACCAGGAGCATCACAATTTGCAGTAGAACAAGGTAAATCAATAGCCATAATATCCTAAATGTAGACTTGATTTATCTCTACCAATGATATAAACACTGAACCTTTTTACCCCACAGGAAATGCACCTCCAATGCCTCTGTCCCAGGTCCCGTCTACCTGTGGCTACAGCGTGCAGAGGAACTCACATGCACTTGAAATGTCGGTTCCCTATGATGGCTGCAACATGGTTCAAGAGGTAATGTGAAACTGATTTAAAGAGTGAGGAAGTGAGTTTAAAAAAACGATGGCTAGTGCTGTGAATTGTTATAGTTATGAATGGTTTAACGAGAGCCAAACAAATAAAATGTTTAATCTGCATCATATTGATCTCAAGCGAAAATGTGTTTTCAGCTTTTCAAATGTGAGTTGTTTTTTGCTTGCTTTCAAATGTACTGATTAACTATGTTTTTTGGATGGGGACCGACATTCAAATATGTTGCATCATGATGATCTATTCAGAAGATATAGCATGAGATTAATTTTGTGCATTGTACAGTCGGATTGTAACATTGACAGGTCTGTGTGATTCCTTGCTGTTTCTAATTGTATGTGTTTCTCCCAAAGGGTGGAAGTTATGTACTCCCGATGCGTTGGCAAGGAATTCCAGTCTCTCTCTGGTGTTCCAACCCTGCCGCACCTCCTGCTTCCAAAACGACTTTCCCCCAATTCCCCTGTAGCTCAGATGCCTGGATACCCTCCGATGCCTGGATACCCTCCGATGCCTGGATACCCTCCGATGCCTGGATACCCTCCGATGTCTCGATACCCTCTGATGCCTCAAAACCCTAACATGCCCGATAAAACAACAGCAACGACCACACGGCCTATAACTGCAAATGCGACTCAATACCCTCAGGTTCCTCAATACCCTCAGGTTCCTCCAGACCCTCAGATGCCTCAAAATCCTCAGATGCCTCCATACGCTCAGATGCCGTTTCCACAATATATTCCGATGTATCCTGCCTTTAATCCTCTTCATCCTCTCAAATATCTAACTTCAAAGCCAAAACCAACTGCGGCGACAACACCAACTACAACTAAACCAAAGGCTAAAAATCCCTCATCGCAGCTTCCACCATCTATGCCTTACTATCATCTTTACCCTATGACCCCTCCCTATCCCCAATATCCAACCACTCCAGCTACCACTGTGAAACCAGATCCCCCGCCCACACCGGCATCCCATCCTCCTTTTCATCCCCATGTTCACTTGCCCATACCAATGCTGCCTCCTTTTCTTCCTCCACGCTACCATACTTAAACAGTTCTAATAAAAGTTTTGAACAGAGACGCTTTATAGTTTGTGCTTTTGTTAACCTTCAACTACCCAAGAGACTTTTTATTCCAGACTCTTCAAGAAGTCTCATTTGTTTTGTGAATGAGTGAACAGTCGATATTGAGAAAATGACATTTAATTTAAACAGATAAATTGTGCTGACAAATGATTAACTGAAAGTGCACACTTTAAATTCCTACATTAATTAATGTTTGGCATTTGAAGTGTTGTCATAGTGTGGCTTTGTGTCCACATGGTGGCATCATTGCTCAACCATTTCTTAGGTTTTGAATTGGAACGTTTTGTGTTCACACTAGCTTTCCTTGTGTGAACAAGCTTTACAATGGTTGTTTTTTTTGAAAAGGTATTTCAGTCAAAGGTAAAGTTCCATCATGTCATTTCCTAAAATACGTAACATATGCTGTGTGAGGGACGCTGGCTTCACTCATTACATACACCAACTCTGAAATGGAGCATTTACAACTTTGGGCAGTTCTGCAAAACATTGAACCTTCAGCATTTGTCTCCTTTTGGTTTTGTAAACAAGCATTTCTAAATGTTTGGTCAAACACTAGGTCATAAGTGTTCAAAGTACACATGTAGATGTTATATTATAAAAGTAGCCTTCATACAACTAAAAATGACGTAACAGGTGAGATCCTTAATTATTCAAGTGAAATGTCAATGATAGAAGCAAAACCTTTTATCCTACAGGGTGTCCTTAACACCTGTGTATTGTTTCTTTCAAATTATGGATCTGACCATGAAACGACATCTCTGGTCCAAGTCAGGCTGGGATACTGATGCATGTTCACCATCCCGTTACCGTCTGACTTTCCTTGATGTGAAGATAAATATTTTGTTTTCTAAATAAGGGAAAGCATTGTTATACATCTAATTATTGTGGTCAATGTAGATTAACAAATCAAAATAGTCAGACTTTTCCCTTGCATTCATTGGTTTGTTATCTAAATCAAACCGTGTGATACATTATACAAAATTATGAAGAACCAAGAATCGGGGGATATTTTTATTTGAACTCTGAAAGGACTTAATGGACTTTGCATTCTCAAGCTTGTGCAAAGTTGTTTGTATACTTGAATACAACTTGTATACCGCTTCGTGAATAAAGATTTGGGTGAAATAATGTGTTTTTCCCCCTTTCCTGTCAAGTCGGGGAAAATAACAATGGGCAATGTCTTATATTAAGAATACTTGAGGTGAGAACATCTTTTAAATATAATGGGTTAGCAATTGAGGATGTGTACACATTCTTGGTATATTTCCATGTTTTCTTTCCATTGTCTTTGGATGCATTGCTGTTCTTGTTTTTTATCCTCACAACCCTTTAATCTACATTTAAAGTATTGGAGCAATATAGAAAATACGTTTTTCTATTTTATAAGGGTCCAAATTACATCATGAGTTGTATTTAGTCTACTGTTATGTAAACATGATAGTAATTATTAAGAAGCTTATCATAAAAATAATTTTATATTGAAAGATATTTTCCCTCTTAAGTAGGCTAAGTCAAAGGAAAACCCTGAAATGTGAGCAGAGTTCAATCAATCAATCAATCAATGTTTATTTATATAGCCCAATATCACAAATGTTACATTTGTCTCAGTGGACTTCACAGTTTGTACAGAATATCAGTATGACAATACGACACCCTCTGTCCTTAGACCCTCACATCGTACAAGGAAAAACTTCCGGAGAAAACCCACAGTTTAAAGGGAAAAATGGGAGAAACCTCAGGGAGAGCAACAGAGGAGGGATCCCTCTCCCAGGACGGACAGACGTGCAATAGATGCCGTGTGTAAATTGAAAAGATAATACATTTGCTAGCATTTGGTAGTCCAAATGTTTGGAAATGCATGTGTGTATAATAGGAAGATTAATCCACGAGGATATCCATCCAGGACCTATGATCCAGGACCACAGCCACGACTCAAGATCCAGGGCTCGCGATCCAGGACACAGGACCGCAAGATCATCCATGACTCCGGATCCCAGCGTATATAGAAACCAAAAAGAAAGACATTTGGGGAAGCTGGGTTAATCGGAACATGAGAGTACACAGGTACAGACAGAGAGAAGGAAGAAGTAAGATGTCCCCCGACAAACTAAGCCTATATCAGCAAAACTAGGGGCTGAATCTAATCAGCCTAGTTTCTCTGCATCGTTTTGAGGCAAGATATGCCTGATTTTTGCAATGTTCCGTGGATGGAAGTAGGCGGTCCTTGAAATTGATTTTATGTGGGCGTTAAAGGATAAATCCTGATCAAATATAACACCAAGATTCCTTACAGTCTCACTGGAGGCCAAATTAATGCCACCCATAGTTAGTATATGTTTAGATAATTTGTTTCGTAGATTCTTCGGGCCAAGTACAATAACTTCAGTTTTGGTCGTGTTTAACATCAAAAAGTTTAAGGTCATCCACGTTTTTTAAGTCCTTGAGGCAGTCTTGAATTTTATTTAGATGATTAATTTCATCAAGCTTGATGGATAAATATAGTTGAGTATCATCCGCATAACCAGGGCTGCACATAACTGGTGCGCAGGTGCGCATGCGCACCTCCGCCAAAAAAAGAGCACCGGGTCATTTGAAACAAATCGCATTTGCGTACCAACATTGAGAGAGGGAGAGAGAGAGAAGGGAAAAGAGAAAAGAGAAAATAGATGAGAGAGAGAGAAGAGAGAGAGAGAAAGATATTTGCGAGTTGCATATGAACCATGATATGAACTCAGGGCCGGCCCGTAGCACTGGCTAGATGTTCGCCTAGGGCGCCAGACCTGGGGAGGTGCTGCGCTGGCAGCTCTGGGAGGGAAAAAAACATTTTGACCGTTGGGGCTCATCCTAATTTTCGGCCTTGATGTAACAATATTCATAATTAAGTAAATGTAACACCCTTTTCACCCCGGTTACACGTTTCATTTGTCCTGTACGATGAGCGCTGTAAGTGATGAAAATGGGGGATGTTGGCTTATCTGGCGCCCGCAGCTCACAGACAAAATGCGAGGGAGAGAGGGAGGGTGCACCTGTACCAGCGCTGTTGTTATTGATTGATTGATTGATTGATTGAAAAGTTTATTAACAGCTTGTATATTGGGTACAGTACAGTACAGCTCAAAACATACAATTGTTAAGGGGATGCAGACCAGAGAAAGACTTTCGTCTTGTTTACATCAGGGTCCCCCATTTCCAATTCATTATTAGAATCTGGTGCCGTGCTAGCTGCTCTAACGGATATAAGAAGAAGATGTTTCTACAATAATGTGGAGCGAGAGTCCTCTCCAGTCAGACTGAGGCTGATAACTACAGCTCAGTGAGGTAAAGGACTCTTGAGTGTTTAGATAGTTCACTTTAGTCTAAGTTCAAACGGTTTGGTCACAATTTATGTAAACACATATTTCCAAGGCACTCCTTTATAATTATTGGGATAAACAGGTTTGAAATCATTCCAATGTATACTATAGGACAGTAACCAAAAATATCCTTTAAAACTGGAGAGATCAAAAAAAATGCATAAATAAATAAATGTTAAGGTAAAATAAGATATGAATGAACAACACAAATAAAATAAGTTACATTCATTTGTTATTGGCTATAGTAGGCTATTGGTTATGTTCACATACTTATTTGATTACATCCACTTGTCTAAGATGACAACAGAGACTTTCGACCCAAAACCAGCTGTTGACTTGTGGATGCAAGCAGCTAATCGCAGACTCAACCAGAGAGAAAGTAGTAGGCCTCCATCATTAGCTACCATGTCTGACAGTCAGGAGGGTAGTGATGACAGCTTGTAGGATTACTGGTCTTGCTAATGTTGTCTTGTGTTCACCTTTGCATGTGTGTTCTGTGCCGTGTGTCTGGCAAATAAAGTCAAGACCCCCTCAAAAGTTACGGTTTATTTCATTTTAAGGATGAGCACCAAGCAACATCTCCAGGTGCTCCTTTGAGAACCAGGGCAAAAAAGTTATGTGCACCCCTGCGCATAACAATGAAAATGTACAGAATGATTCCTTATAATATTGCCTAACGGAAGCATATATAATGTGAACAAAATAGGTCCGAGCACTGAGCCCTGTGGCACTCCATGGCTAACTTTGGTTTGCGTGGAAGATTCATCGTTGACACGTACAAACTGAGAGCGTTCAGATAGATAGGACCTAAACCAGCCTAAAGCAGTTCCCTGTATGCCAACTAAGTGCTCTAGTCTTTGCAATAAGATATCATGGTCGATAGTATCAAATGCAGCACTGAGAACGAGCAAAACAAGAATAGAGACAAGTTCCTTGTCAGAGGCTATTAGAATGTCATTTGTGACTTTAACCAGAGCTGTCTCTGTGCTATGATGTGTTCTAAAGCCAGACTGAAAATCTTCAAATAAATAATTGTTTTTTAAGTAATCACACAACTGTTTTGCAACTGCTTTCTCAAGAATTTTTGAGAGGAACGGAAGATTAGAAATAGGTCTATAGTTGGCTAAAACCTCTGGATCGAGGTTGTGCTTTTTACGAAGCGTTTTTATCACTGCTACTTTGAATGATTGTGGAACATAGCCTGATAATAAAGACATATTCATAATATTTAAGAAAGAAGTGCTAATTAATGGAAAAACTTCCTTCAACAGCTTAGTTGGAATTGGGTCTAACATACACGTTGATGGTTTAGAAGAGAGAATCATTGAATGTAATTGTTCAAGGTTTATGGCTGAAAAGCATTCTAGTTTACTATCTAGTGTAATATTAGAACTTACATTTCCGGGAGCTGTTGATAACACTATACTGGTCAAAGGCAAGAGGTCATTAATTTAGTTTCTAAGAGTAACAATTGTATAGTTAAAAAAGCACATAAAATCATTGCGACTGAGTGCTATGGGAATAGAAGGCTCAATCGAGCTATGGCTTTCTGTCAGCCTGGCTACAGTGCTGAAAAGAAATCTTGCATTATTCTTATTCTCATCTATTAATGAAGAGTAGTAGGCTGCTCTCGCTTTACGCAGTGCTTTCTTATATTCATTGAGAGTAATTTGCCAAATTAAACGAGATTCTTCAAGTTTAGTGGAACGCCATATCCTTTCAAGTTGTCTCGACTTTTGCATTATTTTGCGGGTTTCGGCATTATGCCATGGAGCTAATCTATGTTGTTTTATTTTCTTCTTTTTCAAAGTAGCAACAGAGTCTAATTTTATTTGCAGCGCATCTGTAGCACTATCAACAACATGATCAATTTGGGGTGGTGTACATTTTGTATAACTTTCCTCCCTTACATGCAGACATGCTATCGAGTTAAGTATTGGTGGAATCTCTTCCTTAAATTTGGCTATAGCACTAACAGATAGGTTTCTGCTGCAGGAACTTTTGACTAATGCTTTGTAGTCTAGTAACAGCACTTTAAATGTTACTAAGAAATGGTCGGATAAAGCAGGATTATGCGGTTTGACTAATAGTTGCTCAATTTCAATACCATAAATCAGAACAAGGTCGAGAGTGTGATTAGAGTGTGAGCAGAGTTTTGTTACTTCTATGAAATGTTTGGCCATCAACAATTATATTAGCCATGCCCAAATAAATACTGTATTGTTATGTGTCTATCATTCTTGTGACTTCATTTTGCTTCAGCTGCTGCTGGTAGTCCCTAAAACCAACCAAGGTGATTGCGAGACAGCGTATACAGAAGCTTTTTTGTATTTGGAAGAACACTTTTTGTCATCTCTGTAGGTTGAACAGTTTGTATATCGAACAGTTTGTATATCGAGCCTTCTCAGCGGTAGCCCCCAGGCTCTGGAACGACCTGCCCCCCATTTCAAATTGTTGCCCACCCTCCAAACTTTTAAGTCTCGCCTAAAGACCCACCTCTTTTCCCTCGCTTTCGAGTCAGTCTGAGCTATGTTTTATCGATTTGTATGCTTTTATTGTATGTCCATAGCCTTTATGTACTGTGTATTAATTCTTATGTGTGCCTTTCATCTATTATTATATTTTATTATAATGTTATGTTTGGTGTGAGGCACTTTGGTAAACCCTCTGTTTTTCATATGTGCTATACAAATAAAGTGGGTTGGATTGGATTTGTAATAGTTGGTATGCCTTTGAAACCAACGGTGCTAGTGAACTGTGAGCGCGGAACCTCACAGCGGCGGAGAAACTGTGGAGCGCTTACACCAATAGCGCCTCTTAAGCGCATAAAGGTGCGCCGCATTTGCGCTTCAATGTCATGCAATCTACCCACGCTACCTTTGCGATCAACGTATTGGGCACCCCCGATCTACATGATCAATATACAGGGCTTACTTTGTAGACGTTAGACAAGTCTTAACGAGGCCCACCTGTTGCAAGCTAATTGAACACAGGTGCAAGCATTAGCTGAGGCTGCACCTGCCTTGTTGATTGGCTGCCTGGTGGTAATATGTGTCAGTATTAAAGCCCTGTCTCATGCTTCATTGCCAAGTGCTCTCCACCCACAGTGAGTTTGATTTTACAGAATGGGAATCCTATGAGCACCTATCACAGCTGTATTGGTTGTCACAGCAGCTGCTAATGCTCAAATAGTTGCGGCAAAGAAAGTTATCTCATCTCTTCACATTACCAGCAGTCATGCGCAACAGGATGATACGCAAGAGAAAAGGCGCTGGTGTTTACCTGGCTGCAGCTGTTATTCTGACGTGTTATTTTGCTCAAACTATAGACTGTTATCGTCTGAAGAAAACAGAAAGACGAGAAGGGAGAAAAGATGCCGATGCAACAAATGAGTTCCAAGAGGGGACAATTGTTTTCGGGAGAGCTTTTGAAAAAGGGTCAGGACTTGATTCTCAAGTCACAGACGGGACCAAGAAGTCATCCTCAAACGCTTATGAGGAGGATGAAGGTGATTATCAAGCAGACGCTGCAGGTAAAAATATTTTGATTACGTATTGAAGGGTTTGTTATTTTTCTTGAATTGTTTTGCATCTCTTTAAAGTACAAACTATTTAAAAATATGTATTATATTCGCCTTCAGGCTGGATGAGCCCAACACAAGTGGCCAGTCCCAAAGACTCATCATGGAAGAGCATGTCGCCCTCACTGCAGTGTGGTTTGGGCAAGTTGAAGTTCAGAGCGGTGGAACCAGGAGCATCACAATTTGCAGTAGAACAAGGTAAATTAATAGCCATAATATCCTAAATGTAGACTTGATTTATCTCTACCAATGATATAAACACTGAACCTTTTTACCCCACAGGAAATGCACCTCCAATGCCTCTGTCCCAGGTCCCGTCTACCTGTGGCTACAGCATGCAGAGGAACTCACATGCACTTGAAATGTCGGTTCCCTATGATGGCTGCAACATGGTTCAAGAGGTAATGTGAAACTGATTTAAAGAGTGAGGAAGTGAGTTTAAAAAAAACGATGGCTCGTGCTGTGAATTGTTATAGTTATGAATGGTTTAATGAGAGCCAAATAAATTAAATGTTTAATCTGCATCATATTGATCTCAAGCGAAAATGTGTTTTCAGCTTTTTAAATGGGAGTTGTTTTTTGCTTGCTTTCAAATGTGCTGATTAACTATGTTTTTTGGATGGGGACCGACATTCAAATATGTTTCATCATGATCTATTTAGAAAATATAGCATGAGATTAATTTTGTGCATTGTACAGTCGGATTGTAACATTGACAGGTTTGTGTGATTCCTTGCTGTTTCTAATTGTATGTGTTTCTCCCAAAGGGTGGAAGTTATGTACTCCCGATGCGTTGGCAAGGAATTCCAGTATCTCTCTGGTGTTCAAAACCTGCCTCAACTCCTGCTTCCAAAACGACTTTCCCCAATTCCCCTGTAGCTCAGAGGCCTCAATACCCTCAGATTCCTCAATTCCCTGATATACCACAGATGCCTCAATTCCCTGAGATGCCTCAATACCCTCTGATGCCTCAATACCCTCTGATGCCTCAATACCCTCAGAGGCCTGAATACCCTCAGATTCCTCAATACCCTCAGAGGCCTGAATACCCTCAGATGCCTCAAAACCCTAAAATGTCCGAGACAACAGCAACGACCACACAGCCGAATACTGCAAAGGCGACTCAAATTCCTAAAATTCCTGCACTGCCTCAAAACCCTCAGATTCCTCAATACCTTCTGATGCCTCGATACCCTCAGATGCCTCGATACCCTCTGATGCCTCGATACCCTCAGATGCCTCAAAACCCTCAGATGCCTCAATACCCTCAGGTTCCTCAATACCCTCAGGTTCCTCAATACCCTCAGAGGCCTGAATACCCTCAGATTCCTCAATACCCTCAGATTCCTCAATACCCTCAGATTCCTCAATACCCTCAGATTCCTCAATACCCTCAGATTCCTCAATACCCTCAGATTCCTCAATACCCTCAGATTCCTCAATACCCTCAGATGCCTCAAAACCCTAAGATGCCCGAGAAAACAACAGCAACGACCACACGGCCTATAACTGCAAAGGCGACTCAAATTCCTCAATACCCTCAGGTTCCTCAATACCCTCAATACCCTCAGGTTCCTGAATACCCTCAGGTTCCTGAATACCCTCAGAGGCCTGAATACCCTCAGAGGCCTGAATACCCTCAGATGCCTCAAAACCCTCAGATGCCTCAATACGCTCAGATGCCGTTTCCACAATATATGCCGATGTATCCTCCCTTTAATCCTCTTCATCCTCCCAAATATCTAGCTTCAAAGCCAAAACCAACTGCGGCGACAACACCAACTACAACTAAACCAAAGGCTAAAAATCCCTCATCGCAGCTTCCACCATCTATGCCTTACTATCATCTTTACCCTATGACCCCTCCCTATCCCCAATATCCAGCCACTCCAGCTAACACTGTGAAACCAGATCCCCCGCCCACTCCGGCACCCCATTCTCATTTTCATCCCCATGTTCACTTGCCCATACCAATGCTGCCTCCTTTTCCTCCTCCACGCTACCATACTTAAACAGTTCTAATAAAAGTTTTGAACAGAGACGCTTTATAGTTTGTGCTTTTGTTAACCTTCAACTACCCAAGAGACTTTTTATTCCAGACTCTTCAAGAAGTCTCATTTGTTTTGTGAATGAGTGAACAGTCCATATTGAGAAAATGACATTTAATTTAAACAGAGAAATTGTGCTGATAAATGATTAACTGAAAGTGCACACTTTAAATTCCTACATTTATAAATGTAATTAATGTTTGGCATTTGAAGTGTTGTCATAGTGTGGCTTTGTGTCCACATGGTGGCATCATTGCTCAAACATTTCTTAGGTTTTGAATTGGAACATTTTGTGTTCACACTAGCTTTCCTTGTGTGAACAAGCTTTACAATGGTTTGTTTTTTTGAAAACGTATTTCAGTCAAAGGTAAAGTTCCATCATGTCATTTCCTAAAATACGTAACATATGCTGTGTGAGGGACGCTGGCTTCACTCATTACATACACCAACTCTGAAATGGAGCATTTACAACTTTGGGCAGTTCTGCAAAACATTGAACCTTCAGCATTTGTCTCTTTTTGGTTTTGTAAACAAGCATTACTAAATATTTGGTCAAACACTAGGTCATAAGTGTTCAAAGTACACATGTAGATGTTATATTATAAAAGTAGCCTTCATACAACTAAAAATGACGTAACAGGTGAGATCCTTAATTATTCAAGTGAAATGTCAACGATAGAAGCAAAACCTTTTATCCTACAGGGTGTCCTTAACACCTGTGTATTGAGTGGCCTGTGTTCGTCGTCCATACCATAACCCCACCACCACCATGGGCCACTCGATTCACAACATTACCCTAACCCTACCCCTCACACCAGATACTGACTGGTTTTCGGACCACCCCAGACCCCCCCCAATAAAGCAAAACTGCACGTTTCAGAGTGGCCTTTTATTGTGGCCAGCCTAAGGCACACCTGTGCAATAATCATGCTGTCTAATCAGCATCTTGATATGCCACACCTGTGAGGTGGGATGGATTATCTCGGCAAAGGAGAAGTGCTCACTATCACAGATTTTTTTTCAGATTTGTGAACAATATTTGAGAGAATGGTTATTTTGTGCATATAGAAAATGTTTTAGATCTTTGAGTTCATCTCATGAAAAATGGGAGCAAAAACAAAAGTGTTGTGTTTATATTTTTGTTCAGTGAAGCTGCAAAAACATATCTATTATTTCCTACGGTATAAATGCAGATTTTATATGAAATGTCATAAAAACGTTGATCACTTGACAGCTGTTTTAAATAGCCTAGCAGCATAGTTGCTAGAGGCAATACAAAGCAATCATTAGACAAATATTAATCTTGACCTGATAACGGTTTTTCAAGGCTATATCATTTCTGGTAGTTGTTTTGTCTTTTTTAAGTTGATTTGTGCATCATTGCAGTTTTGCAGCCAATTGTATTTCATATGATTTTCTTTCATAGCTGTGTTTCTTCACAGGTTGTTTTGCGTGTCTTTGTATTCATACAGCGTCTGTCAGTGGTTGCTTTGTGTCTCTTTCAGCGACATTTTGCAGATGAAGCCCAGGGGACATACTGACCCCTCAGTGGGCCTGTTCAGTATCCATTCATGTACATACTTGTCAAATGCGGTCCGCGGGACATTTTGAAATGGCCCTCAGCAAATTCAAAAGGTATAATGGAATACGGCCCACAAATGAAACTTGAGCTTGTACTTGTACTTATGAAATATATTTGTAAACATTTACACAGTAGTGTTCATGTGTTAATAAGCCCAATTAACAATACATTCAGTCAATTCAATTTGAAAATATGTTCTATCAAATCTAAGTCGAAAAGACCAATAATTTATAAACTTGAAATATGCCTTTCCAATTCCTTAATTTTGATTATCAATCTGGAGCTGGGATTTAGGCCGTTTATTTTTGTTAAAGCAGATTCAAGTATCAAGCATAAGGTATTTTTGACTGATTTTGCTAACTTATGAGGCAATAAACCTCACCTCTTGTGAGCGGCCCGGCCCTTCGAATATTTTTCTGTATGTGGCCCTCTGTGAAAAAAGTTTGGACACCCCTGAGTTAGAGAGATGTTTTTGTAAAGCTCTCAAGGATGCTACCAAGCTTCAAAATGTGACATAAGTAGTAGTCTAAAATGCTGTTTATCCGCAGATTGGACTAAATCACTCGGTCCAGCCGTGCAGTGACTTCGGCTCTGGCCTTCATCAGCAGCTGTGCCAACCCCGTCCTCTACACCAGTGGTTCTCAACTGGTGGGTCGCGGAGCCGTTTCGAGTGGGTCGCAGATGTGTGAGTGAAGACATTTTTAAAAAAATATATATTTATTTTCTTTTTTTTTAAAGTCAAACTTTTATTTTGAAGGCCCGATTTTATGATGCTGTGCATGCAGTAGGCGTTGGACTGGAAGTACCGCAGACCATAAACGGTTTTGAAAACTTCTGTCACGTAGTGATCATCTTCACAATAAAACGTCTTCTGGCCAATCAGAATCAAGATTGTTGCCGGTGTTGTGTCAAATTATGCACCCCCGTCGTGAAATGCACCCCTTAACACGGGAACGTGCATTTTAACGTATAGTTCGCTAATTTATATTGTCTTTTTGATGGTTGGGTTGTCGAATCCTGGATTTTGCATTCATTCGTCACTTATTTTTCAGTTAATTTTTTATTTAATATATGTTTTTATTTAATTGTGACGTCCTGTCTGTATACTTGTGCTTTACAATGTATTGTTTATTTTTACATCAAGTGCTTGAGGGTGGGATTAATAAAAACATTTTTATTTTGGGGGGTGCTTTTTATGAACAGCCTGGTTGCCACGATATGCACCCCTTGCTATCTCTGACAATAAACGTGTCACATACATGAAACTTGCTTCATTTATTGGTACTAGTCCTACAACTATACCCTCCAAAGTGCTTGAGGGTGGGATTAATAGAAGCATCTTTTTTCGGGGGGTGCTTTTTACGACAGGCTAGGGGGTGCATTTCACGATGGGGGTGCATAATTTGACACAACACCGGAAGTCCCCACGGAGAATAACTTTGCGGTAGAACTATTCTTTATGCATCCATGGGTACAACTTCAGATACAAATGAACACATAATGAAATATGACCCCCGGTTTGATGATTGACAGGTCACAGAACAATGGGGGCTATCTACCCTTACCCACAATTTAAAGTAATTCACACAGACTATCTCCTCTTTACTCTTCTCTCTGAGAGGAGCAGCAAGCTGTCAGAACAAAGTGAAAAACAAATAATGGCATACAATATTATTAATATGTCGGGTAGCAATAGATTTATTTATTTTCTTCTCAAAGTGTACCAGAATTTATATGTTAGTATTTCTAAAAATCTCCTGGGGGACAATCCCCTGCTGGGGTTGGGTTTTCAGCATGTGTTCCTTTTTATGTTATACAGTTCAGCTTTGATTCCATCATCTCATTAAACCTTTTTTAAAAGCATACTTTGGTTCTGTGAAGGGATATAAGGGATATATGCACTGTACTTCACTTTTATTAATATTGTATGCTGAAAAGGGTATATATATTACAGCACGATTTTTTGTTGAATAGATTTGAGTGGTTAAAAATGTCAGGTCGCGATCTTTTGACAAAGGAAAAAGTGGGTCCCGAGGCCTGACCAGTTGAGAACCACTCAAGAAGAACGGCTTCGCCTTCATGGCTCGGCTCTTTGAGGGGACGTCGTTGGACCAAACAGGAACGAAAAAGACCAAAGAGACTGTGGGACTCAGTACTGTGGAGTCTGCGAACGACTCGGGAACTTTACAAAATGGGAGAGCTTGAATGATTGCTCCCCTTTAAGAGAAACTATGTAAATAATACAAGTGTGGAGATATTGGTTTAAGCAGCTTTAGCCAAACTAAAAACACTGGCTGAGAGCTGTCAACTATTTTTGTTGCAGATAATTGTGTTCAAATTTTGATTTAATTAAGTAATTGGTGTCAAGACAGGACTTTAACTCTGTACAATAAATCACCTCTGGCTGGAAGAAAACTCTCTGCTCCATAGTTTCTCTTGAAATAAAACCACGTTGTACATTTTACACATATATAATCTGTTCAATATTTAATATTTAACATTAATATTCCATACGCCATATATATAATCTTTCTTTATTTTTCCTGCTTATTTCGAATGTATTGTAAAATGCCTTGTCCCCGTATGTTGCTGTAACAAAACAAATAACCCAAATTGGGATCAATAAAGTACCATCTTATCTTATCTTATTTGCATGTGGAATGTCACTAACAAATGAGAGCATCATATGGCTTGTCATATTAAATCCTTTATCTCGGTGGTACCCAGGAAGGTCTATGATGGTGTTACTCGGAGAGCCCAATATCATTTGAGGTGGTACTCCGTGTAAAAAGTTTGAGAACCACTGGCCATCTCACTTGCTCTATGTCACTCATACACTTTGATGAATAACCATGTGCAAACATTGAAACTACACCCAGGGGTTGGCAATCTTTACAATCAAAAGAGCCATTTTTGTCCAGAGCCTCAAAAGATATTTTTGCCTTATAAGGGGAAAAGCCTATTAAGTTTGATTTCTTAAAAGTACGGAGAATTGGGCTCACAGTATTGATAAGTGAACATTGAATTGTTAAAAAAGTAACTGTTATTAATTTCCATATTACTATTATTTATATATTCGTATATTTTGCCAAAGCAACAGGGAGTCACTGGAGAGAGGCGAAAGAGCCGCAAGAGGCAGGGCACTGACCACCCATATGCATTGCCTGCTTGCCCCGAGGCTGTAAAGGCCTAACTCAACAGAGCCTCAGCGAGTTTGAGGAAACTGCAGCGGGAGAAGACCAATGCCTTGGCGAGAGAAAGGAGGGCCAAGAAAAACATGCGGGCTGTTCTGGAGGAACTGAAGGAGAAAAATCTCATAAACGAAGAGCTGAAAAGCTTGAATGCTACTCAGGTCAAATAAAAAAATATTGCATTGAATATTTTATGTTCTTTGTTAGACTTCCTAGTTAC